CTCAGTAGTCATCCTGGGGACCCATCATGAACAACAAAGATATTCCTATCACTCAGAAAATTCTAAGGGTTTAGAGCCTCTATTCCGGGAATCTGGAACAAAGACCAGACAAATTCTTTCTTACATAATACACACACATATATGTATACATGTATGTGCTTCTAGACATATTTGTTTAAATGTCAAACAGCTAAGTACTTGATACATTATATATACTTTTGTAGAAACTGAGAAAATAAGAAATGGGCCCTGAACTTGAACTTAGAGTTTGATTACTGAGCTGAGTTGAGTGCAGCATGATGCCAAGACTTCCAGTAATGTTAGGTTCTGGGAGGAAAAGGCAGGCATCGGAGACCATGAGCAACACAGCAGGAGCCACTGGTCTCGTCCTCACTCTTTCTCTAGCAGAAACCTACTCACAAAGGAGAATGAGGACAGAATTTCATTTTCCCGGTAGGTTTGCTCTCTTTTTAACTTATCGTTTTTCTGCATAAGACCAGAAAAATTATAACTCTCTGAAAATTTTGATTCACTTAGAAGATTGTATTATGATATAATTAATAGTTAGGAGGAACTTTACTAGACATTTGGAATGAATAAGCTATTACCTAATTATCAGACTAAGAAATTCCTTTAAAAAAAAAAAAGGCTTGGGTCTCCAAATCACTTAGGAAACTTTAAAAATACCATTTTAAATGAATTGTCGTGGTGTTTATATGTGGAAGCACTCCAAAAGATGTAAACTGGAAACAATAAGCCTAAAATGAATATTTTAAAACCATTAGCACAATGAGTTCCTTGTTAATTGTGCAATTTTATATATAGTGAAAATTTAGAACAGCTTATGTTTTGCATGAGATAAGCCCTTTTAAATTTAAAATTCGATTTTATTTCATTGCACTTTTAATTTATTGGTTAGTACTCTGTTAATATATCCATTTAACTTTCAACATTTTTTGCAAATGCCTTTTATTTTTTAGTTCCCCAAGAATCTCTAAAACAAATGATGGTACATAGGCAAGACACTCCAGCTCCACTTGTCTAAGCACAGATGATAAAAGGCATTCAGCAGAGAAAATAATCATTAAAGGATCTTTTACAGTTGGCTGAGGGATTGTTATGATTGGGATGGGAGGGACATTAACTTACACATTACTCACAGCAAAGTATAATGACACGTTTACAAGTTAAAGAGGCTTTGCATTCTGACAAGATCATTTTCAACAATATGGGAGAAACAGCTGAGCAGTTTCAGAGTATCTCTTTTTAAAAAAACCTGTGTTGGATTTAAGCAAAACTGATTTCTAATGGGTGTTAGGTGGTAGACACAAATGTCCACCATCAATGCAGAACTTATTCAAATATGCCAGAACTGCAACCGCATGCCTCCACTTGAATTGACCTGAGTCCTTAGACCAAAAGTCCTTACAGAGACACCTCCTTGATATTCTGGCACAGGGCAGCCCCAGTCAGTGGTAACAATCCCATCATAATCTCTTGGGGGGAGGGGGCTGAACAAGTAGGTGAGCAGTCAGGTGACTTATTGTTAAACCCCTCTTTGAATCCTGTTCGGTTCTCCAAAGCCACAAACAGAAAAGATGTATCGTCACAGTAAGTGGTCTTTGGCACATAATCCTTAAAAATATTGGGATAATTCAAACTTGGCAACTTCTTTTTTTTTCTGGTTCAAGAATATCCAGGGCTTCTCAAATATGATTGCTCATGGCCCTTGCAGTGCTCTTTTACACCTGCGTCACTCAAATATCCTGCTGGTTTATTTAGGAAATCAAAGTTCAGAGAGATAAAAGAAACCTGTTCAGTCATGGTTCCAGGAATGAATGAAGCTAGAAATTTAATTCACATTTTCTAACACCAAAGCCACTGTTCTTTCTCCTACACTAAGTTTCCATCCTGAATGATTCACAGAATTGCACCTCATCTAAGGTTAATCTAACTTTGCAACCAGCAGACAAATGGGATCATCTTGCTTTATCTCTCAAGGTTCATTCTATTCTGCTTGTGTTGTGGTTGGAAGGTTTTTATTACAGCTCTCCTGCTAGTTTTCCCCAGTTTGAAATAACTCAAGAAATCAGCCCTATGTTCAGTTAATGAGCAAAGTTAAAGGAGTGCTTATTACATGCAAAACTCTACTCATTCTCAGTGGAGAGAAAGACATATTTATGAACAGAACCATCAATCTTACACTCATGCACAAGTCACATATACAAGGATGTCAGGCGTGACACTGTAGTAGCATAGATTTGGAAGCACTTCAATAATTTCCTATGTACCAGCAGTCCTTTCCAATTAATCCTATAAGTTGTTGCAATTTTAATTTCTGAAAGCCTAGCTGTAGTCATTCCTAAACACGAACACTGTGATTCTTTAATTCCTTTCCTCCTTTGATTCTCATCTTTTATTAAATAAGTATAAAACTCCTCATTTACCACCCAATGGGCAGTTGTTTGGGCCTTTAGAGATGTATGTACGTATGTCTATATCTCAATCCTGGATGAGGAGGAGGGTGATAATAGGCCAGTGATGTTTTGCATGGCCCCTCCCTATGGTTCAAGTTTCAAATATGTATCACTTTCCTGCCCAGGCAATTTAGGACCTATCAGAAAGGGTTAAAATATAGTTTATGTTTTAATCAGGAGCTTGTGGGGTTTTTTAATCCTCACCTGAGGATATGCTTACAGATGGAAAAGAGAGAGAATGAGAGAGAGACACCAATCAGAGGCCTCTCTTCCAAGCCCTGACCTGGGATAAAACCGAAAACCTAGACATGCATGTGCCCTGACCAGGAATTAAACTCACAGGTGTACAGGACAATGCTCCAAACAACTGAGCCAGCCAGCCAGGGCAGGAGCTTCTTTGTAGTATGCCTTCTCAGATTTATTTTTCAAGATGGGTCAACAGATGAGAAAAAAATTCTAATTATGGTGATTTCTTTATGGGAGTTATGAAGTGGGAGAAAAAGTGGAACAGGCATTGCCCTCATTTAAACCTGGATTTTTAATGTTAATCATATATCCTCATTTTCAGCCCATAAGTCATGTTTCATTTGTCTGAATCACAACTGTGGCCAGGGATTCTATCCATGGTAATTCTGGGACCCACAGAAATCAGGGGATGTATACAGATCAACATGTCAGGATTAGTATGTCCAGAACAAACGAAAATATTTGATGGTTCCATTTTCCGTACACAGGAGTAAGAGCCTGACTTTGAACTACAAAAGTGCCATCTTTTTATATCAAAATAACAAAGTCATGGAAATAGGCAAGTCATTAGAGGCCCAGAAGGAGGAGAGGAGAAAGGCATGTGACCTAACTCTATATCCCTGCATAGTCAAACCAGAGCAACCTGCTACCATAACACCTTACATTAGCATTACCCTTTATATTTTGCAAAGTATTTTATAGACATTATCTCACTTAGTCTGAATTTTTTTTTTGTTTTTTGCAGTTTGATAGCACTATGATTTCAGAGAAGTCAGAATCCTAATTTCCAGAACCTGTGACTACTTTCGGTCACACAGAAAAGGGCAATTTGTATTGCCAAAGGAACTGAGAAAGCTTACTTTGGATTATCCAGATGGGCTCAATGTGATTCCAAGGGTCCTTAAAAGTGGAAAAGGAAGGCAGAACAAGAGAGTCAGAGGGAAATAAGACGCTAATATAAGAGCATAAGAAACTGTCATGTCGATGACTTTCAACATGGTAAAAGCTGGCAACAAGCCTAGAAATGTGGCTAGATATAGAAGTTAGGTAAGGTCAGCAAACATCCTCTATAGCCTCCGTGAGGGCACACAGCCCTGGCAGTGCCTTGATCATAATTCAGTGAGACTGACGTCACACTTCTGAACCATAGCCTGTAAATAATAAATGTGAGTTGTTTTGAGACAATACACTTATGGTCTTTGTTACAGGATTAATAGGAAACGCATACAACAGCCTTAAGAAATATTCCATCCACACCCCTTTTTATAGCATCTGTATTCACACCTTCTCCCCTCCACTGCATGAGTATTCCTTGAAGGCAGGGCTGCCTTAATCATTTGACATCTTTAAAGCTATAACATTTAGCACAGTATTTAATAAAGAAGCATATAATTGATATTACCTCATGCTTTTTAGTTTGTGAGTCAAACTTTCAGGATTTTGGTATTGTGCTTTGGTGTTTACATATCAACTCCCAATTTCTGTGAGTTCTGAGATGACCAAGTCCATGTTTCATTCGTCTAGTGCCTGGCATATAAAACAAACTTAAAATATATTTGATAAGGAAGGAAGATGAAGGAAGGAAGGAAGGAAGATGAAGGAAGGAAGGAAGGAAGGAAGGAAGGAAGGAAGGAAGGAAGGAAGGGATTGTAAATATTTAAATTCAAGTTTAAGCTTCATAAAACAAGCAATGCCTGCCTAATTCACAGATGTTCTTCATATATTTTTGTTAATAATGGACTAAATTTTAGTTTTTATTAAGTGAATGTATATCAAACTTTCTTAAGTTTATTTGATCAGCACATTCAGGAGTATGGCATATATTCAAAGTGGGAAATCACCTATGAGTTGTTAATTTGAGCATGAAAAATCCCAATAAAATGTGAATGATATGATGCCCTAAGATTTTGCGAGTAATGGCTTGTTTTTAACTTAACTTTAATATTATTAGCAATGATTAATAATGACCAAACTATTTTTAGAATTGGTACCTGAACTCCTTCCTGCTTCTTAACTTTACCACAGATGCTGATAAAAATACTTCAGGAAAATTAACTTAATAGGAGATTATGGAACCAAGTTGTTCTATTACTTGAAATTTTCCTGTTAGCCTCACTTCTTCTTGGGTGTATTTTTTGTTTTGTTTTATTTTGTTTAGCATGCAACACTGATTTGTTCCTTTAAATCACTGATGTTTTTCACAAAATGATCTTACAACCAAGTTTTAAGATATATTTTTAAGATATTTTTATTGATTTTTGGAGAGAGAAGAAGGAAGAAGGAGAGAGAAAAAGAGAAACATTGATATGAGAGTGAAACATCAATCAACTGCCTCCTGCATGCCTCCTACGGAACCTAGGCATGTGCCATGATGGGAATTGAACCAGCCACTTTTCAGTGCCTGGGTTGATGCCCAACCAACTGAACCATACCAGCCCGGGCTGAACTAATGTTTTCATGAAGCACAGCTACTTATTCACTAGCTGCTACTATATTTTCCTTTCTCAGTGGTTAACAAACAAACAAACATTGAGAAAACCAGTTTTAAGTGCGATAGAGAAGCCCTATAGCCTCAGAGGGCAACCCCAGAACACTGCCACCCAGAGGCTGAGCCACAAACTGACTCTTTGCTAACCACAAAATAAGGCAGTCTGGGAAACAAATACGGCCTGCTTTAAAATAAGGACTGTGGTTTACAACACAGAGGAACAGTGTATCGCAGGGAAATGCAACACTCTCCTGAATACCTGGCAGGACTAAGGCGAGCCAGACTGACGAGTAGAAGAACCAAAGGACCTTCACTACTGCAAATTTGTTTTTATTCTTTTTTCACCTTTTAACTAAGAAACCAATTTTTTTTTCTTCTTTTTCCATCACCTGATTTTACCCTTTTAATTACTACATTCTTATTTTTAACCAGTATTATTACTGCTACCATTTTACCATTTTTTAAAGTGCCATTTTATTTTCTCTTTATTTTATTTTGGGATTAGTGTTCTCCATTCTATTTTCATCGTTCCTTTAGCAACAATTTTCCCTACCTCAATTTTACCTCTATGCTAAAACCCTCTCCCTCACTTTTCCCCTTTTGTTGTCCTGTTTCTCTTACCCTATTCCTGCTTTAGGTTTTCCCTATTCCTTCTGTTTACATCCTGTCAAAATTTCACCCTACTTATATATCCTATTTCCAATCCACTGCTCTAAATCTTTATACACAAACCCCTTATTTTTCTTCACTATCCAAAATTTTTCATATTTTTTATTTTTTTTATTTTTAATTTTTTTCTTCTATTATCTTTCTATTGTTTTGTTGCTGTTTGCTTGATTGTTGAGTATATTGTTTTTCTGTTGTTGCTTGTTTTTTTGTGTGAGTCTGTGTGTGTGTGTATGTGTGTGTTTTAGGACTGGTTGTGAGGCTGTTTTGCTTTTCCTTTTTATTTTTTTCTGCTGGTTTTTCCCGTCCCTCCACCCATCCCCCCGGTTATTTTTGTGCTTCTGTTTTCCCATGCCTCTCTTGATATTATTGGTTGTTTCTAGTTTGCATTCATCTCCAGAGAGCTGTTGCTGGAATTTGTTGGGATTAGTGGCGGTTCTATAGGAGTTTTCTCCTCATATGAATAGTCTCTTCCCCTCCTCCACTTCATTCTCTCTTTTCGCTTTTTTTTTCTTTTCTTTTCTTTTCTTTTCCCCCCTCCTTTTCCCCAATTTCATTTTTGCACTCCTTTTTTTGGTCCCTACTTTTCTTTTCTTTTTTCTCTTTTATCTTTTTCTCTTCTTTCTTCCTTATCCCCTAATTCTCTTAATTTGGGTGGTCACCTTTATTTGGGGTTATTAATATCGTGAATATATTTGTGTATAGTGCCTGGTACGTGGTGCCTTGTTGTGTTGTATTTTGTGCCTTTAAATCAACGCAGCAGATCCAAGCAACAGCAGCCTCCTGAGCACCACACCCTCTGTCTGAGGAACAGCAGCTGTATGTGAAACCTCCCCCCACCAGCCAGAAGAGCCACCACAGCTGTGAACAGCACCCACCAGAGGAGCTGCGGCCAACTGAGGAGCAGCTGCTACCGCAACCGCCCGAAGAGCAATTACAGCCCAAGGAGTCACTGCCACCCAGGTAGCAGCCACTGAATGACTCAACGTCTAGATATGTCAGTGAGATCAAACATGGGTAGACAAAGAAACCCCCAAAGGAAAGAAAAGCAGCTAAGTGATACAGAGGCATGCAACATGACAGAAAAAGAATTCAGAATAAGGGTCCTAAAGTGCATAAACCAGATGGAGGAAAAAATCAATAACATATGCAAGAAGCTAGAAGAAACAGATGAAAAAATCAACAACTTAAGTAAGACCCAAGAATAAATGAAGAGCGATATAGCTGCAATAAAAAACACCATTGAAAGTATCAACAGTAGACTAGGAGAAGCGGAGGACCGAATTAGTGAATTAGAAGACAAGGAAGCAAAACACACCCAAAATGTACTGCAATTGGAGAAAAAAATTAAAGGACAGGAGGAGAGCCTAAGGGAGCTTTGAGACAACATGAAACGAAACAACATACGAATAATAGGGGTGCCAGAACAACAGAAAGATGAACAAGGATTAGAAAACCTACTCGAAGAAGTAATATCAGAAAACTTCCCTGAGGTGGGGAAGAAAAAAGTCACACAAGCCCAGAGAGTCCCAAACAAGGTGAACCCGAAAAGACCCACACCAAGACACATCATAATTACCATGGCAAATGTTCAGGACAAAGAGAGAATCTTACAGGCTGTAAGAGAGAGACGGAAAGTTACATACAAGGGATCTCCCATTAGATTATCAAATGATTTCTCAACAGAAACACATCAGGCCAGAAAAGAATGGATGGAAATTTACAAAGTAATGCAAAGCAAAGGACTGAATCCAGGAATACTAAATCCAGTAAGGCTATCATTCAAAATTGAAGGGGAAATAAGAAGCTTCACAGACAAAAAAAGGCTAAGGGAGTTTATCATCACCAAGCCAGCAATGCAAGAAATGCTAAAGGGACTGGTGTAAAAAGAAGAAATAAAAAGCTCAGAAAGAAAAAAGCCACACAAAAAAAGAAATGGCTACAAACAAGTACCTTTCAATAATAACTTTAAACGTAAACGGACTAAATGCTCCAACCAAAAGACATCGAGTGGTTGAATGGATAAAAAAACATGACCCCATACATCTGCTGTCTACAAGAGACCCACCTCATTAGAAGGGACTCACACAGACTGAAGCTGAAGGGATGGAAAAATATCTTTCAGGCAAATGGAAAGGAAAAGAAAGCTGGGGTAGCAATACTTATATCGGACAAAATAGACCTCAAAGTGAAGGCCATAACAAGAGATAAGGAAGGCCACTTCATAATACTAAAGGGATCAATACAACAAGAAGATATAACTCCGGTAAACATATATGCACCCAATGCAGGAGCACCCAAATTCATAAAAAAACTCCTGGAAGGTATCAAAGGAGAGATTGACAACAATACAATCATGGTAGGGGACTTTAATACACCACTGACATCACTGGATAAGTCCTCTAGACAAACAATCAGCAAAGAAACAGCAATTCTAAATGACTCACTAGATCAGATGGTCTTAATAGACATCTTCAGAACACTTCACCCCAAAGCCACGGAATATACATTCGACTCTGCTCCTCATGGGACATATTCAAAAATAGACCACATATTGGGTCACAAGCAAAGTCTCCCCAAATTCCAGAAGATTGAAATCATAAGAAGCATCTTCTCAGACCACGATGGCATAATATTAGAAATAAACTACAATAAAAACAACCCCAAATACTCAAACACTTGGAAGCTGAATAGCATGTTATTAAATATTGATTGGGTTACCAGTGAGATTAAAGCAGAAATTAAAAACACCCTGGAAACTAATGGCAATAACAGTACAACAACCCAAAATCTATGGGACACAATAAAAGCAGTCCTGAGAGGGAAGTTTATAGCACTACAGGCCTACCTCAAAAAATAAGAAACAATGATAGTAAATCATTTAACTCTACAACTCAAAGAATTAGAAAGAGAACAACAAGAAAGGCCCAGAGTGAGCAGAAGAAAGGAGATAATAAAGATCAGAGCAGAAATAAATGACACAGAGACCAAAAAAAACAATACAAAAGATCAATGAAAGCAAGAGCTGGTTCGTTGAAAGGATAAACAAGATTGATGAGGCTCTAGCCAGGCTCACCAAGAAGCAAAGAGAGAGGACTCAAATAAACAAAATCAGAAATGAAAGAGGCGAAATAACAACAGACCCCTCAGAAATTCAATTATTGTTAAATAATATTATGAACAACTCTACTCTAACAAACTAGACAACCTGGAGGGAATGGACATATTCCTAGAAAAATACAATCGTCCAAAACTCAATCCAGAGGATTCTAAAAATCTCAACAGGCCAATAACGATGGAAGAAATTGAAGCAGTCACCAAAAAGCTCCCAACAGAGAAAACCAAGATGGCGGCATAGGTAAACACCGGAGTT